TTCCGAATATCAATGAGCTCTAATGTATGATTATTTCCAGTGACCATTTTGGAAGCAATGCTTTTCGAAATTTTCCTATTATATATGTTAACTGTTAAGATAATTATTTGATAGAGAAAATTAACACCTCTCTAGACGATTTCGTTGCTAAGTTATAAGAATTCTTCTGAGATTTTCAAAATCAATCAATGGACTATTCACTAATGTCCAATTTCTTTTTCAATAGAAAATAGATGTTAATTAATCTTTTTCTAACCTTCATTATAGAACTATGTAAATGTAATTGTCGTTGTTTATTAAAATTTAGTTATGTTTGAGAATAGTTTCAATTAATATTTGATAACATGTAATATGTTGTATTGGTTTTGTCAAAAAAACCATTTAATGATAAACCATCTATTTTATTTTGAAAAATATTTAACTATGAACGAAATAGTTTATTTTAATCAACTTCAGATTGTAAACATGTATCAGTCGTATGTGGGAAATATGAACAAACAATTTCATCTATTCGTATAAATTCATTTATGGTCATAGTTGATTGAGGAGCAATATTATCGTCTGAACATTCAATACTAATTAGACATAGTAATGTTAAATTATTAACTGATAGAGAATGATCAATATGTTCAGTGTCACTAAGATATTTTCCTTCGGCAAACCGAAGATGCATCACATATTTGAGAAATTCATGACTATGGACGTTTATCGTCATCATAGTTAATTATTATCTGAAAATGAATGAAAAGAAAAAAACCAATGTATATATGTTGCACAGTATTTAATGTCATTAGATGTTCTTTATATGAAACTTGTTCTTTTAATGTCGATGGAAAAATCATTGAAACTTCGACTATTACTTGATGATTTAATAAATTCATCAAATTCTCGAATAGCTGAGATAAGTGATGAATTATTTAATGTTTGATGAAATGATGTGTCAATTATTAATGTTGATGAATCAGCTATTGTCCATGTACATAGAATACATGAAGCTGGAAGAAAATTATTCAAAACAGTATTTATTTCTATAAGTTTTCTAGAGAAATAATGCCTCGGAGACAAGAAAACAACAAAAACTAAAAAATGTTTTTTTTATCTTCATGCAGTCAACATAATTTTAATAATGGATGTGGGCATGTGGATGTGAAAGTGTGCGTGTAAGAAGAGAGCACCAACCACACTCACCCTCAATTGGAGAAATAAATCATTGAATGGAAAACCATCATCCTCATCATTATTATCTTGCATTTTAGTTTTTATTTAATCTACAGAAAATGAAC